AGAGACCCAGTGAAAAGCTTTGGAAAACTAATGTTTTCCAATTTGTGCAATTGTGTGTGCTCCCAAAACTGGTGATGATTTATAGCACACTTAACTTTCCACTAAGATAACAATATTAAAATCACCCAGGTCAACAAATATAAAGTAAGTTGCAAATTTGAAAATAAATTTAACACTTTTCCACAATGTTTTGGCACCAGAAACTTTCTCTGCCTTCATTGCCAATGACTTTTCATTCCATTCAGAAATGCAAAAATCATACTTAAACTTTAATAGGGCCTTTTTGGGTCTATTTGTCAGGTTTTATTCAACATAATCCTTTTACATTATTAAGGCTTTTTATAGTATAAGAAAGTATTTGTGATGTCAACTTTCAACTGTATTTACCTTTCTCATTAATTCAAGGACAATGATAGGTTTTATTTTTGAACATGAAAATTTTTTTTCAATATCTGGTATTACCTTTCTTTTCAATAGTCTCATTTTGACAACCTTACAAAATAAGGTCAGTACAATATTTCCAAAATGTAGTGTAATAAAATAAGCATATCACTTTTGTAAGGTACATCTGAATATTCTATATTAAAAAAAAAAGTCTTTGGTCCTCTGATACATCTTTATGAGAAAATTTCATTTATTAATAATAATTGTTAAGACTAAGTCTCAGGCATCTGAAGTAAATCTATTTAATCCAGCCTACAAGTTAAACAAACTACTTCTAATTCTAACTCTAAATATAAATACTTACATTTAGAAAAAAGACAAACATCATCTAAGGCCTCCTTCAAATTATTCTCAGGAATATGTGCCAGCATAGCTCTAAAAGATTCTTCTTCAGCAAGAAAAAGCTATGTATATATATCCCTGGTTTGTAATCACCACAGATCTAAAATTTGGCTCAGAATCCAGGTCAATGTAAAAAAAAATTTTAAAAAATGACAACATAAAAAAATACAGGTGCAGCCACAATTCAATTACATATTTCCTCTTTTTTGTAGGTTGTGTCTTTGTTCTCACAGCTGGGAGAGTCCTACTTTAAATTTTCAACAAAGAAAGCCACCACATTAAAGAACTCTAGAAATTCCTATAACCAAAACTGTAGCAATAACCATGCAATCTTCACTTGCCTTTCATAAGCATATTATGGACTTTAATCTCCTGTTCCTCTGTACTCAACACATTTGGCAAAGTATGTGAACAACAGCAATGAAAACAATCATTTGAAAGCAAACTGTAGGAAAGAAGACTCACATAAAATATCTAATAACTAACATCTCTTAACAATTTACTTTCAATTTAAAAAAATGGAAATAATATTGGGTATTCTGTTTCTATTTTAAGTGTTTGCTTTGATTGGCTTTAATTTTCCCTAAAGGAAGGAAATAAAACAAAAACAATTATATTCTAAATAAAGACTGCCATTTTAAACCCAAACTGCTAAATTTTAATCTATTAATTTCCCTGTATATATAAATGTGCATATTACCTCTAGTGTTTTATCAGTTTAACAGTCATAATTTATGCAAAACACACAGATGGTCTTAGAAATAGTAAAAGTTTCAGATGTTACAACTTCCTAGCATATGGAACAATATCATGAATCATCATTTTGGCATCATTTAAACGATTTTAAAATTATTTAGACATTAACATCCTGGCATCATTTCATAGTGATATGTTCTATCGCAACCTTAAATTGTTTTATTCCTGGTTGGTGGTGGTTCTTATAATATTGACCCTAAAACTACTAATATGAGGAGGAACTGCTACAAGTGTTGACAGGATAGCACCCTCTATACAATAAAAGGCAAATGAAGATCCTATAATAATTTAAACATTTGTGCATAAACCCTAACATTTACTCAAATCTAGTATATGATACAAAAGGATAATTCAAGATTTTTTTTATTTTAATAAAATTTACTAGAGTGGTTTTAAACTGTTAACATCACAAAAATGCAGATACAAATTAAACACATACACCCAAACCAAAAGCTTTCTGGTGAATTCCATTCTCCCATTTTTCAATAATATGTACATGCTGACTCCCATATTCCTCAAAATGAGCTACATTAGTCTGTGGTAAGAACTGCTCTGTGACTTAATACAAGAAAGATTTACTTCTCATTCATTCTACATGGCCATCATGGGGAGCCAGATGTGGAATGGAAGGTTCTGGGACACAGGACTCTGGGGCCCAAGCTCTTTGGGTGGCTGTAGCTTCCCTACCTGCTGTAGCTTCAGTACCTGGAACATGTGGACTCTCTGGAGGCCACACGGAAAAGAGCATGCTGGAGGCTCCCTCACGGTATTTAATATCTTTAATTTCCACTCACAGCCCATGAAGCTGAACTAGTCAGCGTGGTCTGCCCTACAGCGAGGAAACTGGGAAGCCAAGGCTTTCATCTGCCCAGAAGCGGGGGCGGATTGCATGCAGGGCAATAAGTACTCGTTATGTTCACCACAACACAATTTTTCTCTCCAGCCTCAACCTCAACTCTGAATTTCTGACTCACATTTCCACTGCCTATTTGATATTTGTGGATATCCAATAAGAACTTCAAAATTACAATGTCTGAAACTGAGTTCTTGATAACTTCTAACCCAAATCTTCTTTTACTATAATTAAGGAATCTCAGTTAACAGCATCGCTATCTTTTCTGCTGCTGGGACCAATGCATAAAGATAATCCTTCACTCTTCTCTTTTTCTAATAAGCCAAGTCCAATCTGTTCGATTCTGACAGCTTTTGCTTCACAGCAGAGCCAGGCTCTAACCACTGCTCTCCTTCCCCTCCTAGCAGACTGATCCAGACATTTCCCTTTTGCCAAGAAAACCAAAAATGCTCCCAACTTGTCTCCCTACTTCTGCCATTATCACCCTTCCGTGGATCCTGCCAAAGCCCCTGATGCTTTACCCTTCTCTTGGGAGAAAAGCCAAACTATTTGCAAGGACTGTAAGGTACTACACAGTCTGGCTTGTTGTTATCCCTGATGCCATCTGCTCCAAATCTCAACTTTCCTCCCTCCCTACCATTCGCTTTGCTCCTTTTTCAATCTGTTAGGTATGCCCTGCAATAGGGTCTTTAACCTTATACTTTGTTCCTCTTAGAACATTTTCCCAGATACCTGGAAAGTTCCCTCCCTCAATTGTTTTACTGGTCTCTATGTGAAGCATTCTCTGGCCATCCTATTAAACACTGAGGTTCTTCCCAATCCTATCTGTCTAGCTCTGCACTACTTTATTGTTTATATAATTTACTATAGTCTAATGTACAATATGTTACACCATCTACTTTCATTTTACCTGTATAGTCAGTCACAGAATATAAACTCCAGAAGGGCACTCATTGGGAGCTGTTCAATGCTGCATCACCAATGCTGAAATTTTTATTTTATTTTATTGGTTGGTTTTTTGTTTGTTTGTTTTTGTTTTTTTCTTGAGAGAGAGAGAGAGAGAGAGAGAGAGAGAGAGAGAGAGAGAGAGAGAGAGAGAAGGGAGAGGGGAGAGGGGAGAGGGGGAGAGAAAGATAGAAACATCAATGATGAGACAAACATTATCAATCGGCTGCCTCCTGCACTCCACCCACAGGGGATCGAGCCCACAACCTGGGCATGTGCCCTGACAGGGAAGCGAATCAGTGGTCTCTTGGTTCCTGGCTCAGTGCTCAACCACTGAGCTATACCATCTGGATGCCAATGCTGAAATTTTTATCATTAATTTGTATTAAACACAAATTGGTCACCAGGAAAGATATGAGGGAGAAATATAATGGTTTTAGTGTGTATGAATCATTAGGTCAGAGAAATGAAAGTTATATGTAATTATCACTAAATAACTTAAAATGTTTTCAAGAAAAATGTTATCTTGATTGTGCATAAATCTAAAGGAATCTGTTAACAGCAATAAGAGAAGCTTTTGTTCCATTCCCTTGTGCTCTTGACTTCATTTCCCAAAACCAATATTTCTACATAAGTTCACTTTGTAGAACTATAAAAGAATAGTTAAAAGTAGAGCTAGGCTGTTCTTATCCCAATTCCTCAATTTATAAAAACCCTTTGAGATAATAATTTTTATTCTGTTCAGTACAGGAAAAACGCTTGATTTTCTTTAAAAGTCCCTAAAACTTTGTCTACCATAAACCCCTTTACTTTGTTAACAACTTAATTGTCATGCTAATCTGTAAATAAATAGTGCAAGCATTTATTAGGAGCATGTGTTCTGTGTTATAACTTTGTTCTTCTACAAGTATAGCACACAGATTCTCCAGGGTAACGTGGCCAATGACTTTGCAATGGCAGAGAGTGTGTGCAGAATAAAGGAAATGCCGAAGGGAAATACTGTACAATCATAGGGTAAGCAGAGCTGGAATATTTAGGTGGCTTAGTAAATACCTTTCACAACACAAAAATGCAAAGAAAAAGAAGTCAAAGAGAATCACTGATGGACAGAGGAAAATGCATCATTACTAACTACAGATTTATCCTGCTTATATCACAAAATAATTTTAAATCTAATAATCTAGTCACATAATTTTATTTTGGAATGAGTAAATCCATTACCTAGGTATCATTCAGATGAGGTTTTATTGTTCAGAAACATGATTGAACTATTCTATAGAACTGAAAAGCAATTTAAAAAGCAGAAACAGAAAAAATCCTAAAGTTACTTTTAGGAAGCCTATTGGAAACATACTCTATGCCCTGATATTTTTTAAAAATAACTTTTATTGTAACACATGGAAATGTGATATACCCTGAGTTATGATAATAACTAAGTTATACATAAAACTATGTATTAGCTAACTTTTAGACATTAACACATAAATTATATTTTTCTTTTACTAAACTTTAAACAAAGTGACATAAAAATGGGAGATATTGCAGCCTATTATTTTAAAAAACAAAACAAAAACAAAAATATTCACATTTTTATTTTTCATTGGTGGAGAAATATACGGTGAGCTCTGGAGGTGACCCCACTGATAAACTCAGTACTCACAGTTATCCTTTCATCTTTGTCGTCCAGTGGAGAGCCATCTTTCTTCCAAGAAATGGTGGGCTCAGGATGGCCTCGTGGTGGCTGGCACTCCATCACTGCGGGCTCTCCCACTGCCACCATGACATCGGAGGGATTTTGTCTGAAGTCATCCCGTAGTACTGCAGGGACAAGTGGAACTCGTTATAGGCAATAGTAGATATGCAGCCCTAATCACTGCAGTTCAGCAAAAGAGACATTTATTATAATGAGCTACTACAGAAAGCTATCTCCATGCATCCTGGAGCATCTAATCCTACTTTTAGACATATGCAATTTAATGGAGACCTCAGAGCTTATGCATACACAGCAGGGACAGTTGGATATTCTTCATAGACCAGTGTAAAATAATATTTTGCTGCTTAGTTCCTTCACAGTTTGGATTTGGCTTATCATTAATTTGCTTTCTTCTCTGACTGCATTTTCTCATCCATGTGCTAATGAATACAACAGAATCCTCCTTTTACTAATACATAACACATTCGGATGATGCTTCTATTATTAAATGAATTGGAAACACAAGTAAACCAGGGGAGGATGGGAGAGGGGATAGAGATCAACCAAAGACTTGTATGCATGCATATAAACCTAACCAACAGACAGACACCAGAGGGGTGAGGGCACGAGTGGGTGGAGGGTGGGGGCACCGGGAGGTAAGGACACATATGTGATATGTTAATCAATAAAGAAAAAAATTGTAAAAAGAAAAGGTAAAAGCAGAAATAAATATATTTCCAAACATTCATTTAACTATCATTTATTTTAAAACTGTCTCAAATTAATGTATAAGAATATATTATCTTTACAATTTAAATATGCTCATTGTAACAACTACATATTTACAAAGACATATTTACAAAGTGAGTACCTTCAAAATACTGTGTTTTTTCCGTTAGCACTGAGTGAGGGCAAGTGTTAGAAGGTACCAATGATGATAATTATACTGCTACCAACAATGTCACTTTATATGTTCTGTATTTAATGGTGTTGAGTGTGTTTTTGTTTTGGAGGCAGGAGTAAATATTCTTTCATTTAATTCTTAAATCTGTTCAGGGTGAGAGAGATTATTAACCCTATTTACATTATTAATCCTATATCTTAGAGGAAGAAATTATTTATTACTAGACTAGTAATGTAATAATAAAATACCATAAAATAAGCAGTATTATTCACTTAGTAACTGTTGGAATACAATGTGAAAATAAACCAAATATGCATTTCAAAAATAGTTCACAGAATAAAATTATTCTGTGTATTCTTATAAACATAAAGGAGTCATGCTTCATGGCTCAGCTGCTTGGAACATTATCCCGTTCACTAAAAAGGTGTGGGTTTGATTCTAGGTAAGGGCACATACCTGGGATGTAGGTATTACAAATGCACCGCAAATAAAATGTAAGGATTATATAAAACAACAAATGAATTGACTTTTACAAACAGTGTGTTTCTTTGCTATATCACATTATTAACCTAAGATATCACTGTTGAAATATTTTAATGCTCTTGAAAAATGCAAAAGTAAAATACTTTTCAAGTAAAAATAAATAATTTGCACAAGGTTTCTACCTGGTAAAGTTAAAACCAATGGTAACACGATGTCTTCTTTACAAATTGAGATCAGATCTCAAATAAACCAACGAATAATAAAATGTCTTTCAAAAATATCAAATATCAAAATATTAAGTCAGATAAATAAAAATTTCTTTTCAATTTACTATGTTATTTGAGTTTTTCAGTATTTAATGTAAAGCTAACAAAATGTAATCTATTAAAGATGGTTGCTTAGATAACGTTCATGTAATTATTTTTGCAGCTGTAAAGCATAAAACTCCAGTATTGCCTATGGCTAAACGCAACCCTGAATAGTCGTGAACTTAAGATTTTTTTCCATCTTCTATAAAAGCAACCTTTCTTCCTTAAACTTGTCCTGAACATATTTTGGGGGGTGGGGGGAGAAGAGGAATAGTATGTATCACATTTTAAAATGATATGAACTTTCAGTTAAATTATCAAATTTTCATAATTCATGAGTGTATTTAAGTGATTAAAAATTGAATTCATCCTGGCTGATGTAGCTTGATGGTTGAGCCTTGACCTATGAACCAGAAGGTCACGGTTCCATTCCTGGTCAGGACACATGCCCAGGTTGCAGGATCAATCCCCAGTGGAGAGCATACAAGAGGTAGCCCATCAATGATTCCCTGTCATCACTGATGTGTTTATTTCTCTCTCCCTATTCCCTTCTCTCTGAAATCAATAAAAACTGAATTCAAATGATTGGCAGAAAGACCAGTGAAATCTGTAAGTATTCTCAAACATGGATCCTTTTTGGAAAAAGCTTCTCCTTTTCTTCTCAAACATCCCTATTAATCAAACCATACATTATGCTAGTATAAAATGGTATAAATAGTATGAAATTCTAAAATTTGGAACTCACTTTTGAAATAAAGATTTAATATAATTTGAAACAGAGCAAATAGCATCTATAATGTGTCCAAGTAGATACCACCTAAAATGCTGACAAAACAAACCATAGTTCACTCTAATATTGCTTCCATATTTATGTAATTGTTCCATATTTACAGATTTGTACAGTAATTTGGCTCATTCATAATGTTTTTTATTCAGTTAAATTTGAAGAAGCATAATAAGCTTCCATGAATCTTTGTTTCCTGGAAGTTTAAAAAAAAAAAAAAAATATATATATATATATATATATATATATATATATATATATATATATATAAATTATTATTATTGATTTCAGGGAGCTGCCTCCCACACGCTTCCCACTGTGGATTGAGCCCACAAGGCGGATATATGCCCTCATAATCAAACCATGACCTCCTGGTTCGTAGGTTGAGGCTCAACCACTAAGCCACACCAGCTGGGCTACTGGAAACTTTTGTCTAAAACACTGGTCAATCGTCCTGGCTAGTGTAGCTCAGTGGCTGGAAGGTCACCCTGTAACCAAGTAATTGCAGGTCTGACTCCAAGTTAGGAAACATCTTAGGTTTCGGTTTTGATCCACACAATGTGCAGGTCGAACCAATCAATGATGTTTCTCTCCCTACTTTCTCTCTTTCAAATCAATAAAATCATATCCTCAGTGAGGATTTTTAAAAAATAATAAATTAAATATTAAAATTGGTAATAAAAGTATCATTTAAAACAAAACCTATAATCATTTGAGTTTCTAAAAAATGAAATATCAATTTAGTAAAATTCTCAGAATAAGTATTATATTTGCAGAAAAGGATTCTAAAATTGAGTGGCAACTTTGAAATCTATTGGGATAATAATGAGAAGACAGGAGGCAAAGTGAAAAAATGTTAAAGACAGATTATTTAAAGTATGATGGAGACTTTAATGTTTGTAACACTCTTTAAACACACTATGGAAACTTTTAGAACTGAATGAAACATAAGTTTATTAAACAGGTAGAGGTCTTTGACAACATCTAATTCATCCCAAGAAACAGAGGCAACTGAGCTCCAAGAAACATTACTAGATTGTGTTATTTGCCAGGAAGAAACCAATAAAAAGGAGATATCCTGCTTTCTAATAAATTGCTTTTTAAAAAGTACACACAAACACATCACCATTTTACTGTATACAATTCTATATAATCCATTGTATTTCCAACAAATCCACTCCATTATTGCAAGAGCCTCAGCATTCTATGGCTGTACCTCAGTGCACTACAGTCTACTAATTACTCAATACTGATAAGGTTCAAGTGTTCCTAAAATTAATTTTGTTCCCTAATCATGTGGTGAACATCTGTAAATTACAATGGCTTCATGAAACGCAGAATCTCAATGGAGTCAGGGGCCAGAGGGATATGTGATACAAATTTTTTCTTTTGGAAATTAGGAATTTTAGGCTCCTAGAGGGGAGAGGAATACATTGCATAAGTAATAATGAGAGTAAGTTAACAATATGATAAAAATGTTAGCAATGGTCAATGTTTATTGAACCTGTACTATATACAGAACCATGCCACGCATTTACTCATTTAGTCCATATCACAGGTTATGATAAAGTGAGTTTATTCATTTCATTTTATGGATGAGGAATTTGTAAATATTTAGCAGCAGAGCTAGACCACAAATCCAGTCCATCAAGGACTCTTCTCTACAAATGTACCCACCTATCTGGTCTTAACAAGACAATGTTCACAATTTTAAATAGGTGATATTATTAATATATCAGCCTCTTCCCACTGGAGAAAAAGTTCAGTGAAAAATTTCCAATCTGATGGTCAACTGCTTATCTCTGCATTCTGTGCTTCCGCAGAGTTTTCCACATTCCGGTAATGTATGTCATGCTAATTCTTCTAAAAGATTCTCCTTTACTTTAGCAACACAATGACTAAAAATGTTTCACAATAATAAGTGTTTTAATTAAATATGGGTATTTTAATTAGTAACAAGTTTCTGCAGAAAAAAAAAAACAGAAGATAATATGCACTACTTGATTTTTATTTATTTTTCTATTAAAAGACTACTTGTCCATGAAACCATGCAGCGAATAATAATAAACTGGCAACTGGAAAAAGAAAAAAATCAAGGAGATTCTTTAAAAATAGGATATATTATAGGAAAGAAATAAATGAAATAGATTCTCAAAGACAAAGAAACTGGATATGCGCAGAAACAGCTTAACTTTGTTACAATGGGCCACTTTAATGGCTTTCAAAATTATTAATCACATACTCAATCTTTAGTTTTGAGTAGAGAATTACTCACATCAATGACATTTAATGCCTGTGCTGACATAAATAGATGCTATCTAATTTCAAAACAACTACCATCCTTTCATTTAGTATATCTGTACCGAGCACGTACTTCATGGCTGGGATCATGCTACAAATTCGTTGTTTTCCCTGAAGTGAATTTACATTAATTTTAACATGTCAAGTAACAATCTTTACCCTATCACAAAATGGCAATATAGCAGGGTTTTATTGCGGGTTGTTTTGTATTAAGTTTTGGGAGCAAGATAAAAAACTGTGTCATAAAGGCTTTTGTAACTATGTACGTTCCTACATTGTAAACTCACAGCAATATCCAGGAGAGCAAAGTGTTATCTGGGGAACAAATGTGTTCAAATTCTTTAC